ATTGACTTCACCAGGCTGAAGTGTTTCATGCTGTGAATGCTTATACTTGCTCAAAACTATCCCATAACCTGATGCTTTGAACGTAAGAATGAACAGATATCATCAAGTAAACTGAGAACTAAACACACATTTATTTGGTAGCTAAACACATCTTTGTATACACTATGAAACACTTGTGTTGGATTCCAGAATATGATATCTGCAGAGAGGGATTTGAGTGGACTTTGCAGAAAGCTGTGGGCTATGAGAGTTGGGGAAAAAAACTTGGTTTAAGAAACAAACTAGATATCATCAGTGTTGGTTTCTCTGCCCCAGCCCAGAGAGTCCACACCTTGATTTCATCAAACGTGTGCAGAATACTATTGTACCTTATCTCTCCCTTTGTGTTCTCTGAATCCTTGCATCCTGTAGAACCTAATACCTGTCCCCACCCCCTGCAAAATCCCCTAAAATAAAGGGGGTTTTCCCCATGAGGCAACTGCTAAGACCTCCAAATTTGTTAATCTGCATTTTCCCCTTACATCATCCCCTGAAACCCTCTGTAATAAATTCTAATAGTTACAACCCCCTGTTGAATATGTAGACCCCTTTAAGTATGAACTTGTAAGTCCAATACGGCATTCCAGTTTCTTGTTTTCACTGGGATCACTTAGTTTTTGACTCGCTACACACTTGAAGTTATTCATCAATTTTCATCATTATCTGACCCTCTTTGTCCTAGGACTTGATTCAGAGCAGATATGGGGAAAATTTTTTTTTCAAAAGTTACAGCCTACCATGAGTAAAAAATCCCATCAGAAATTTTTGTCTTAATTTTATTGACTTCAATAATTACAGCTGCTAATCTGAGGTCTTATTTGAGCTTGCAAACCTCTTTAGCTTTATCCATTGTGAGTCTAACCTTTCCTTAATGTTCTCTGCACCCTCTGGAATTAACATACCCTTTTCCCCAAGTGTCAGCAATTCTCACACTCCTCTTCAGACTTTGCACATGATTTTTTAACCTTTATTATTTACAGGCAAATCTTGTGCTAATTTCTTTCCTTCTGCTGTCCCATTTTGGCATTCTCACTGGCCTTCAGCCTCTGAGGATTGTGAACAGCAAGTGGGGTCTGAAAACACTGAGGCAAAGTTATTTTGAACTCATGTGCCCTGATCATAATCCACAATAAGATTTATTATTAAATGTGACCCTGAACCATGAAATTTCAAAAAAACCCATAAGACAAGAACTGCTGATCTAACACATAATTTAAGAAAAATAAAATCAGAGGAGAGCTAAGAGAGGGGGACTTGTGATGAGAAAGTTCATTTTGAAGGATTAAACTTATGTCAGCATTAGATACCAGTACTGTAGTAACAAAAGCATTAAGTACTTTAAGTCTCAGAGACCTTTCAAGAAATTACTAGAAAACTAAAAAATAGACCAAGGATCATCGCATATAATGGTCAGTTGGTTTCTTAAAAACCAGTGTCTTAAGTGTCTCATGGAGAGAGAGAAACATAGTCTCCTATGCACTTCAGGTATTGTTTGTGTGCTAAGCATAAGACAGAAAGAATCCAATCCTATGAGAGATGGAAACTTGTCCCATTTGAAAACTAGCAACTTAACAGGCAGTGATAACTTGGTTGTCTATCCTTGGATCAAATTTGGCTATCTATCTCTGGATGTGGATGTCTTTATTTGGAAGTTAAATTAACAGGATCAATATTTAAGCAGAAGAGACTAGTTGCACCTCCACCTTCAAAACCATAGGTACTCCACTCTTACGGAGAAAGTAACTACACTTGAAAACAGTGCATTCTCAAGAATACTCAAATCCTGTCAGAGAAATCCTGGTATAAGCAAGAAGCAAACATTTCTAGTGTTTTCACTTTCTTTGATGAGGATAGGATTTCCCATTCATAACAATGTGGACAGCTGACAGATAAGCATTTACTCAGCAAATTTACACTCTCTAAGCATGAGGCACAGGAGAAAAAACTCTCCTCTTTCAGGAGCTCTGCAATATTTCACTTTTGAAAATATGCAGCAATTAACAGTATTTCCTGCTTGTATCTCTTTGATTTACATGCAGAATTCGCCTGTGTTCATAGGAGATGTGTTCCAGCCCTGTGATCAATTTAGTGTCTTTCCTCTGAATGTGCTCACACAGGTCCATGTTCTTCTACTGAGGACCCCAGAGATCAATGCGGTACTTTAGGTGGGGTCTCAGAAAACAAGAGTACAGGGACAGAATCACCTCCCTTGACTTGCTGGCCACACTGCTTTTGATGCAGCACAGGTTAGCCTTCTGGGATGCCAGCACACATTGCTGGGTCATGTCCAGCCTCTCATCCACCAACACCCCAAGTCCTTCTGCCCTCAATCCATTCTCTACTCAGCCTGTACTTGTGCTTGGGATTGCCTCAGCCCAGCTGCAGGGCCTTGCACTTGGCCCTGTTGAACTTCCCAAGTTTCTCACGGGTCCACTCTCAGCTATGAGGTGTATAAGTTTCTACCAGATGCAATTGTACATCCTTAAGATGACACACCCCACCTAATCAACACACACGTAACTATTTCTATTAAATTTTGTAAGATTTCCTACTGGGACTGGAAGAAAACAGCCCATAAAACTTGCAAAAAAAGATGAAAGAAAATTATAATTCAACCATTACTGTATAGAACGTATTGCTTTACATAAAAATAGGTGGCTTGTGGCTGTCTGAGACTAATTGGCTCATTCCATTTGCCATGACTTATTTATTAATATTGCTGATTTGCATAGTTTGGACTACACAAAACAGTTTTATATGAAAAATTGCACTTATAACGTAATTTATAAAAAATTTATAGAATTGTATTTATATGTATACAAATTTAATGTATTGATTTTCAAATGAGAAATTTATTTGGTCTAAATAGTTTATTGGTTCATAAGAATGAAATATTGACTTTTGTATATAATATGAGTTTAAGATAGGCTCTTAAGTAGAGGAAGCAGAACTGTTTATACTGCTTGGTGGAAGCCTATCAAGCTTTTCAACCTAATATTTATTTTTAGGGTTATATAGCTAAGTCATAAAAACTGAGTTTGGGTTGAATCTTCTTTTAAGACAGTCATGTATCTACTACTTGACATCTCAGCCAAGAGCACTTTTAAGCACCCTGACAAAACAGATTGGTCACTGTTAAGCAGTAGATGTTTAAAATAAACACTCATTACTGCAACTGTAGATTTATTTCTGTTTATAATTTCTGCAATTGGCTGTTTGGCTTCTTCTGTCTTTTCTGTTAGAGAAAATTATGTGTTCATTGAAGAATAATAGAAAATATTTTGAAATTGCTACATGCTTTATAGACAAGTAATATGTTGACTTAAGGCTCGTCCTCATGGTCCTGAAGAGGCTGAGAGTATTTTCATGACGTGAAATGTAAATGAGCAAATTCCCCTCAGCCCTGGAGCAGAGAAATGTTCAAGCACATCACCACAATAAGGCAACAAGGCAGCAGTGCAGTTTACTGACTTGCAGATTCCTGTTATTCCCACATACATTGTTATTATTGTGCCTAGTGTCTACACAGAGAAAGGTAATGAGCTGCATTCCCAGAGATTCTTTATATCTCTGTATAAAATATATATTAAGATGCTTACTTCACATAATTAGGTTATGCACTTGCTTTCTACCAAATTGCAGGAAAGGTTTTGCTGGCGTTGTAGCTAGCTTTACCAGGAATAGGAAGGTGGGGACAACTTCATCTGTTCACATATTGCATCCTGGTCAAAAGAAGATTTTTATTTTGGTTTTGGTTTTTTGTGGTTTTGGTTTGTGGTGTTTTGTTTTGTTTTGTTTTGTTTTGTTTTGTTTTCCTAGCATGTATCAAGGTTTGTTCAGCAACAAAGAGGTGACATCTGATCTCAACTGGAAGCTTACTATAATTGACAGGTAGTGGCATAGATATTGATTTACAGGGGATTTCCTTCAGACACATACACTTTCTATGTAAGTTTTTCTAATTCTGAATTTTGTTTTTATCATGAAACAACTGGATGAAGAAATTCAATTGAATGGAATTAGATACACTGTGTCAATTATGTCTCTGTTGATTTGCTGTGATTTCAAGATTTTATAGGATGCCTGAGTCACTGCATGGTCGATTAATTTGGTCCCAGAGATTGGCCATGGTATTTCCAGCTATGCAGACATATCTAACAGAATATAACCTCTGTTACATCACACCTCAAAAACACAGTTTTATCTGTTACATGTACCCATGCAGACACTTGTTTTCACCTTACTTCAGTTGTTGTGTTACCTGGAGGCATGACACTTATGAAACTATTTACTGGCAGCTATTACTGACCTTACAAATAGTACAGCAGCAGTTCCTCAGACCCCTGAAGCTGAGTACCCACATGACCAAAGCCAAAGCCTTATGTCTGAAAGCTTACAATATAAATGAAAGACAGATGGAAAAGGATGAAATAAACAAACTGGAAAAATACAACATAAAAGAGAAAACATGGGATAAAGTGATACTTATCACAAGTACGAGAAGTTTTAAAGTATGGTTGAAGCCTGAATAAATGATAAATTTGTTGATCCTACTGTTAGCTTCTTTACCCAAGGTCCTGCTATACAAGCATTAAGAATCATAGCTCAGATTTGCCAACCTGAGGAGTTATAGGTGAAATTCTAAATCAGTTTATCAGTGCATAAAAATATCCAGGAGGATGTTTATTCATTAAAAGTACATGGAAAAACCACATAGATAGAGTAATTTTTTTAAAGGAATGTTTATTTTCAGTTCCATTTAAACAACCCACTTTTTTAACACATACTAAAATCTTTAGGAAACATTCTAAGAAATTTCAGGATTATAGCCACAGGAATGAATTAAATGTATTTCAGTTCTGCAGATTAAAATACAGAATATGTTTGCATCATTCTGCATTTTATTATGTTGCTGCCTTTTGGTATGCTTTACATTAAAAATACATGACTGACACTCTTTATACCAGTAAGCCTTTTTATTGAAAAAAAATATTATTGCATTAAACTACATTCCCAGGGATTCCTTGAATAAGCTAAAAAAAAAGTCGCGTTGCATGTACAATAGTGCAATTCACTTAGCTACTGTATAATATAAAACACTTTATACAGAGAATACAAAACAAAATTACTAGTTTATACTAGCCAGAGTATTATCCAGTTTTAAATATAAACTTGACACTTTTAAAATCAATCTGATCAAATGGCATTTTTATGCAAATCTGCACAACAAATATACATCTTGAATGTATTCCAGAAATACCTCAGTTACAAATAAAACCCCCAAACAGTAACAACAAAAAAATTTATCATGGTGTAACTGAGGAAATGTTTCTTATAGGAATTTTAGTGTGTGGGTGACCTGTTTCCTTGGATTATGTATCAAGAACATACAATCAAGCAAAAATAGATTATTAACTTGGTGTGTCTTTATCACTGCCATGAGGTTACTCTAACTCTTTTAAAAATCTACTTGAATAAAATCAAAATTGTAGCATGGCTCCATACATTGGGCTCAACAGTGCTTTTAATAATTATAATGATACATATTTAAAGTACATTACTGATGAAAAACAAATATGGCAGCAATTAGAGAGAAAATATAATTTCAGCTGTGCTGATAGCTTTATTACATTTCTCCAAGAAAATCTCTTCTTTGTATTAAGAATGATATTGGACATTCCCTTTGTTCAGTAGTCAATGATTACTGTTTTCCTACTGTGCTATTTCTGTTCTTAATCTCTCCTTTTGCTCTCATCAAACCTCTCAAAATCCTAATTCTCATTGTTCCAAGAATTAAATTTAATCTTCATTGTTAATTTATTTGTCTTACCGTGTTGGTGTATACAATGATGCATTGACATCCTATGATTTTGTTTCTTCTAGAATCCCATTGTATTGTGCATATATTATGGGAAAGATATGTATCTATTTTCCATAAATTATCTATGTAGTAGGGTATGGTTAAGTTTCAATTGGTCAGGTTTCCTGCCACAGAAATTTCTACAACATTACCATTACCTGTAAGAAGCAGGGATACAAAATGTGTGCACTCACATTAAAGATGAGATTAGCCCATCATTCCTTAGTTCCATATTTCTCCTTTTTTGTTATCTGCTTAGGATATGAATGAACTCTTATATACATGAGAACAGCTGGGTTTGCTTCAATAGAAATGAAATTGGGCCTATAAATTTAAAAGTTTGTAGGGATGGAAATGCATCTTTTAGGCTGGTATTAGCCCTGAACTGGTGGTCATGGCTACGCATCTTAGTCAGCCTCTTCTAGGGCACAGATTGACCTGCTACTTTAGATGTCCAATTCAGAATATTTTTACAGAGTTATGACTAATGTTTCCAAGTGGTCCACTGGGCGAGTGATCTCCATCCAAGCAAGTAATAATTTTCGGAGGTGTTTAATCACAGTCAGTGAAATATGCTTTATTCTCAGAAAATAAAATTTCAGAAGCATAGAAATTGTATGCAAATTCAGGTCTTAATTCAGGAAGATCTTCAGCCAAAATTAAAAGGAAAAATTTTTAAACTATTGAAATATTTAATTTTACATGTTTTGCAAGAAAAATTTTGACCTCCTTAATTCTGAAGCAATAATTTCGATTAAAGAAGTTCTCTGCAAATTAAAAAGAGAAAATTAAACATAATTTAAATGTTACTTACATACAGATAAGTAACTCCAAAATGGCATGAATCCATTCAGTTAACAAGACTAATAAATAAGATGGGAATCAAATCAAAATATATTTGACAGTGCTGGCTTCACCAACCTTTCTCAACACAAAAATGTTTTGCTTCTGCTCAGTCTCCATTTTTTTTTCTGATAGTTTTTTTCAATGTCTAAAACATTAAGCATTCATAGCTACTTTAAAAATACAAACTTTGAAAATACAAAAAAAAGAGTCACAACTTGTAAAGCAATTTGAAAACTTTAGAATAATACCAGTTTATGATGAAGCAGTTGCTTTTAGAAATTAAAACAATTCAATTTTACTGCAATGGATCAATCTAGTTTGATTAAGACTAAGAAAATTGGTCCTGTTTTATTTTAAATACACAACTTAATTGCAATTAGATTTCTCAGTTGATTCAGATAGCTGAATATAATGGAATAAAATTCCTCCAAAACTTTTAAAATGTGTTTTATATTGATTCTGAAAGACATATTATTAATTGTGCACTACCTTATTGCAAATGAATTGAAATTATTTCAAATGTTTTTAATACAAACAAACAGGTGCTGTCTGTTGGATGCTTCATGGTCCAATTATATTGGGAAACATTCTTGCAGTCTAATGACAATTATGAATTTAATTTCATGCTACAAATCTTGTGTTGAATTAGAAGCATTATAAAATAGCCAAACTATGCCATTCAAAGGGATGCTGAAGTCCTCACCTATTTCCTGATACACAGTTATTATGAACAATTTCAACCACACATTACTCTGAAGGTTGGATACATGCATTCAAACATTGTGGATTCAGAATTTCAATTTGCTTGTTGAGAGTTTGGGAAGCCATGCGAGAATCTTGACATATTTGTTTAGATTCAATATAACTTTAAATGCTGAGTACTATGACATGGTTTTCTTTGAGACAACCTGGACAACCAGTTTTTGAAGAACTGCTCAGAATTTTACTTCTGCATTTTTATGAATATCAGCATGAATTTATAGGACTAACCAATTGTTTCTGTTGTTTGTGAAAGGGATGAAAGATATTTACAAATTCTTTGGGAAAAACGCTTCCACAAAGCAGAGCTCCATTTGATAGGAAAGTTTTGGACAAGAACCTCTGAGGTTCAAAGCCAGCCCTGGTTGTTGGCAATTCTGGGCTACTGCAGCTCACTCCTGATGTACCCTATGATACATACACAGGCAATGCCAAAGAACTTGGCTTCATTGCCTTCTGGGATGCTTGGTTCAGGGAGAAAAGCAGCAGCCTGCTTGTGCCAGCATAGAGCTCCCTGTGCTAAGGGAATTTTTTGTTGTATACCTGTGGCCTCACTGAAATCTCTTTACACTGTTCAAGCAACATATGCCAGGGACTAAATCACTAAAGTATTATCAAGATGCTGTTGCAATCCCTCCTCTTCCAGTGTTAACTCATCATCCCTCTCTCAGAGCCTCCCGAGTTTATTTCAACCAGGAGACAGCCCCAGGGGCTAGTGGTCCCAGATACCTTATTTTTTGTTCAGAAACACCTTAACCACACCAAGAACTGGGCTCTTTCATATATACACTCACAAAAATCAAATCTTTGAGGTGTTTCAAGAGTGCTCTACATTAAATTGCCCTACTTTAAATCCTTCATCCTTGTTGATATACTCAATCCCATTGTGTCTGGGTGCTGTGGTCCCATTCCTACTGAGAGTCATAGACTTCACTTCAAGCTATTCTTTTCAAACATTCAGTAGAATGACACTAGCCACCTCATCCTTCTTGTGCTAGTATCACAAAGAAGCTTTTAAGCAGCTTTTCCTCAGAGATACAAGAATAAAATCAACATTCATATACTGTCAGACAGATTGCAGACTTTAAAATCTCTGTCATTGTGGTCTCAGCAAAACAATAGATTTCCCCTCAGACATGTGATTGAACACTGAATGCTTTATTTTATTAAATTTGGTTTTGGAGCCATTGTGAAATCATTTGGGTTAGTTTAAGTAGCTGGAAACGCTGAAAACTTCTTTAGTTGTAGGTAACTGTTGGGTCTGGCTAGAGCAAGAATAGTGATGAGGCTCTTGCCCTTGGAATACCGGATGAACTAAGTGATTTGGATGTATAGCAGAAGGTGTGGCTGTGTTCAGGTGTGGTGTAAATAAGGCCGGGATGTATGCAGTGTGTGGCAGTGCAGGGAAGGTCACTGGGGAAGGGTGGAGGGGTGTGGTGGAAACCAAGTGTAATGGGTGTCCTGTCAGCAAAGCAGGGTGGGTGGGAATGAAGGCTGGAGCTAATGGGGAAAGTGATATGGGGGCAAAATGTGCCTGAGAGAGTGGGTGGAGGGGTGCCAGGGAGAGATGACTGCCGTGGGGATGCAGAGATGCTGAAACAGCAAAGCGTTGCAGCAGTGTGTGGTGGATGGTAGTGACAGTAGCATGCTGCTGAACAGGGAAGGCAGGAACTGCTGGTGTTGCAGAGAAGGCAGTCGGTCCTGGGGCAGGCAAAACTTTCAGATGTTTTGCCAGAAGTTGTTTCTGCATATGCTGCTGGGCTTGCAGCTGCAGCAACCTGTATTTGTCTACTTCTTCTGGTGAAAATGTGATAGGCTGCTGTGTTAAAGGAGGGGAGGTGGATTTACTGTACACTTCTAGGTCATCTACTGTGTCATCATACTTCTGCATAGCATTGTCACAAAAAGAGTCTGAACAGCCTTCTGCCCCACTGGAGTCCATGTTTACATCGTGTAGTTCTTCTTTGGTCTCTGTTGAATTAGCAACAACAGAATATCTATTAGAGGGAAAAGCACCAGGGAAATAATTTGGTACTGGGTCACAGCTTTGTATAAAGGGTTGCACTTCACTAATGAAGAGATTGGGTTGTTCCTTTATTGCTGTGTTCCTTTTAATGCTTGGGCTCTGATAGCCTGTTTCTATTTGAATTATGTCTTTAAAAACACAATGATCATAATCAGTGCCAGGTGAAAGAGTAACATTAGTTATCTCTGATGCTTCCAAGTTGTTTTTCTTCACACTGTTTTCCATCGAACTGATTTCATTATGCCCCATGTCATTTTTACCCGTGTTTAGTGCTTTCTCTGGCAAAGGTAACATTGCAATGTCATCTACTGATGATAACTGCAGAGCAAAGTGACTTTTCGATCGATCCTTTAGTTCTTCCCCACTACTGTTTGAAAATCTCTCTGAATTGTGCATTTGCTCCTGGGCTTTCTTAGACTGCACTCTTTCTAAAAGTAACTTGGCTGTCAGTGATTTCCTTTTTCCACATATGTCTTTTGCCAGGTTTTCAAAAGAACAGGTGGCAAAGTTTTTTGACTGACTATTCACATTCAGAGATTTGCAATGTGCAGTTTCAGCTTTTCCTGGTTCAGCATTAGAACCTCTTTTGGCATCCTCTTTTGTTTTGTTGTCACAGTTGTCAGTCTCTTTTGAGAAGGATCCTGAACTGCTGCCTCTTGATATTCTGCTACTAGATGATCTTTCACTGCTTCTTGAATCACTGGTGGAACAACTTTTGGATCTGTGGTAGCTTCTACTCCTACTATGAGTTTTGCCAAAATGTCGATGTCTACATCTGCTGTGTTTAGATCTGTCTCTGTGTTGTAAAACTTTGTGTCTTGAACATTTTCGATATTTAATTTTGCCCCTCCGAGTACAGTTTCTAGTTCTGTGACTTCTACTATGACACAGATAATCCTCATCTGTGTCATCTGAAGTGAAAATACACTTGTGCTTTCTGTGTTTACATTTGTGCCTTTCATCTGTCTTGCTTTTTCTTTTACAACAACAGAGCAAATGATTTCTGCTGTGATTGTTTGATGTGGGACTCATGTAACTCATGCAGGTACTTGTACTGCTAACTGAAGTGTCAGAATAGCTGGAATGTCTGCCAGAGGAGGACTTCTGAGAAGATGGGAATCTCCAACATCTTGTGTAACTTCCACATCCTTCATTCTCTGAATTCCTGCTGTTTGAACTAGATTTACAACTAAGGAAACTTCCACTAGAGTCTTTTCCACTGTCACTTATATCACTGCTGCAGCTGGCCACACCTTGAACGGATCTGAAGTCATCTTGGTTTTCACATTTTTCTTCAGAATAAATTAAATGACATTTAGCAGCTTTAGACTTTTTAATCCTAGGCATAAAAGTAGAAATGCTTTCATTTCTAATGTTCAGGTTTTTTCTTTCACAGCTATGAAAATGATGCTTTAAAGGTCTTCTCAGTCTTGTTGTATGAAGACTTTTTTCTATCAAATAATCCTTTTGTGACACATCAAGGTAAGCAGGCACTTTGGGCATATTTTCATTCAAATAATCTGCAATGCATTTTTGACCATTTTCGTTCACTTCTTTCACTATGTTTGACTCAGCTTTTTGCTTGGCCTTTCTTGGATTTAGGGAACCTTTCATCTTCTTTGGTTTCAACAACTGATTATCTTGTTCATTTGACATTTGTTTGTGTTTTATTAAACCTGAGGGTTCATTTTCATCTGCAGTCTTATTTTTAGAGTGCTCTTTACAGCTTGCTTTGTTTGTTTCATGCTGTTTACCATTTCTGTGATTTAAAGAGAGTCTGAAGTCAAAATACAATGGATTACAGCCATATGAAATACAGGGCTCAGTTTTTGTAAACAAAAGTAATTCTGTGGGCCACTGCAGAGCAGTGGTGCCATCTTTGCTCACTACATGGAGGAAAGGCAACGTCTGGGGCTTAAATTCTTTAATCACGGCCTCCTTTTGACATGTTTCCATATTTCCATTTTTGATTTCTGAAATCTCCAAAGATCTCTCTCTTTTTACCAGTCCAGGACTGTTATTAATGTTGCTTGAACGTGCCAACTCAGGCACTGGCTGGGGTGGGAGTTCGGATAACTGGTCAGGCAGGTGGGCATTGCTGTGCTTGTAGGTATTCAGCTGTGTACAAAAATTGCTAGCCTGGCATGAAGGTGAAATGAGAGTTTCTAAGAATTGCTCAGGTTCATTCAGTTTGCTCTCTTGCTCTGTTTCTCTCAGTGAACCAGAAAAATCCAAATTTGAAAGCTGTATTTTCACTTTAGAAAATGAAGCATGAGCACTGACTTTTTCTTCCAATTCCCTGTCACTACTTTTATCATTTTCCTTTACTATTTTAGGTTTTGGAGCTGCATGACTTGATGCACTGTTATCCAAATCTATTTGGTCTTGTGTAATAAGTGACCCTTTATCCAAGCTTGCTTTTATGTGTTCCTCCAAAAGTGTGCCAGAATGGCAGGCCTCAACAACTTGCTTTTTCTTATGGTTGGGGGACTCACTACAATCATTTCCTTCTTCAGAGTTCTCACTGAAGACTGATGCCGAGGACTCAAGCTTTAAAGGGACCTTTTTAGAGAATGAGAAAGACACTCCTGCCCTTTGAGAGGTATTGGTGCTATCTGGGAACACTTGTGAGACTTGATTTCCAAGTGCGTGGTGTCTTTCAGCAGAGGGATGATGCCTACTTATAATAAGCTGCTGTTTCTCTAGTATGGCTCTGGAGAAACCTTGTCCTTCACTCATCATTGTTCTTTGAGAACTGGCTGTGAACTTGCCACCTTTGTAGAGGAAAATGCCATGAGGTGCCTGCTGTTTTTCCATGACCAGTCGGGGGGCTTTAAGCAATGGTCCACTCCCAGTGATGCTATAAGGTAAAAAATAAAGAAAAAAGAAAGCTTTAAGCATTAATAAAGTAATAAAAGTATTAAGTAACCAAGCTATGACAGACCTTGCATTTGACAATGTCTGTACGGTGAAGGAGGGTGTCATGCTGCTACAAGGGAAAGCTAAGTTTCTACAGGATAAATGCTCAAACTAGTTATCGAATCATAGAACCATAGAACAAGCTGACTTGGAAGGGACCCACAAGGATCATAGAGTCCAACTCCTGGCCCTGCACAGGACACCCCAACAATCCCACCATGTGCCTGGGAGTGTTGTCCAAATCTCCTTGACATCTGTCAGTTCAGAGCAGAATGTGATGTCAGCAAAGGAAAATAAATTCACTTCGTAGTTGGTGAGTTTTTGATAAAACTTGAAGTATTATGACCTCAGTCCTTCAGTGTTTTACCTTTCATGGTGCAGATTTCCCCAAATCATTCAAAGGTTGACAGTACTCAATTTAACTTAAATCTTGAACTCTTCTGGGACTTGAGATACAGATGAAAAAAAACCACTCCCCATGGCTCACCCTGAATGGGCAAGTCTGAAGAACACTCTCAACATCCTTAAGATAACTGGGAGAAATTCAACCCTCTAAAGTCAAGAGGCCTCATTTACCATATCAGACTCATATCAGCTGCAAATTAAAGACTGGCTGCCGTGTGGGGTATCTTAGGCTTCTATATGCGCATCTTGAGCTGTATTAAAAAGCCAATCCATAGGTTAGGGCCAGGTCCACCAGACAGATCCATGGTGACTGGAGAGGGCTGAGGTTGAGCCAGGAAGCCAGTCCAAGGGCTGAGGTCCAGAGTAAGGGGCACTGGGGACAGACAGTAGCACGGATATGGCCAAGGAGACCAACTCTCCTCCAACCCAGCCCAGGAAGACTAAGGGGGACCAAGGCTCAGCTTTCTGAGCCCCCAGGTATGCGTGGGGCCCAGGTGAGGCTGGTTAGGGTCATTAAAGCTCATTAGCACCCTCAGGACCCTCACAGGCTTTTGAACAGGTATATCTATTCTGGTGTGATTTTGAGCAGCTGTATAATTTTCAGAGCCTAAACCAGGGCAGATGTTTTTATACCTCCTGCCCCATTAATCCTACCTAACTGTCCCAGTGGCCCCTAATACTCAAAAAACAAACCTGACCTCTCTCATGGTAATGTGCAAATAAGGGAATGTATTTTAACCTCAGTAAAGTCAGACAGAAAGCAGTGCTCTTTGTTTTGCCACATGCGTGTTGAGCTAAATGCAGAATCCAGAACAGAGTTCTGCTTAGTAAACATTCCAGGTAACTTCCAGTTTGCTGTGTCCCCAGTCCAGAAGACCTGGTGTCTCACAGCCAGCTCCAAAGCATGTGCAGCCTATGTCAAAGCTTAGGATTTAAAATCAAAATGAGAAATTCTAATACTTTCAAAGCACAATGGCCACCTCTGCTCAGCAGACTGATACCACACTACTTTTAATTTAGGTGGTTTCAGAACTTGCTATATTAAACAGTTTATAAATTCATCAACACTATAAAAGTAAGAGTAGAACCTTTAACGAAAATCAGAGCATAACACTAAACAGTGCTTTAGGTAAATGTAGTCACAGTGTGTGGTTTATGGTTCTTCATAGCTTACTGTACACACAAACATAAACATACCATCCTACACTATTGCAACACGATTTTTCCAAAAAAACAAACGACTAAATCCTCAACTTATCTTGGGCTTTTATATGGGCAAGGTGGTGTTTACATATAGAAAATTATATATTTTGGAATCAGCATGTGAATGTTCTTTTTCAGAGTTATGCCCATGTGTATCCAGAACAAATATTGGTTTTACTCTGAAATTACATTAAGGGGAATCTGGTCTGTGGTAAGTCTTGGGTTTATGAGACACCGCTGCAAAAGAAATTGTGCTATATTCAAAATGAGATACTTCCACCTGAAGCATTTGCAAAATCAAATTCTGGTAGAGAAAGAGAAACATTCTGCTTGCTTGGGAAGAAAAGTGTTTGTATGACTTTTTTAAGAGTAGATTTTTATTTTATCTTTATGTTATTCCACAATAAATGACTTTGCAAAATATTCAAAGAGATATTAGTATTAAAACTATCAGCAAACATTGGTGGGGAAAAAAGGACACCGGTAGATTTCCATCAATATTAATCACAACTTCACTGGTCTTATTATCAACCAGGATTTCACTTACTTTGCCATATTTTCTGGGTTCTACTTTCATTAATTACATTATTCCTCTTCCCAAAATATCTCAGATTTTAAATCTGTGGTTTAGTATTCTGGTAATTAAAAAAAAAAAAAAAGGCGCAGCCCATCTATGAAATCCTTAACAAACATGGTAAATCACAGATTTCTTGAAATAGATGATTAACTGAGATTGGAATGACTGTTGTCATTTTCCATTATAGATGAGACATTTATAGCCACCATAAAAGTGTTTTTCCAAGATATAATTTAAACATGCATTTCATTAGACTAATTATCTGCATTTGGTATCAATGCAGCACTACAGTAGACTAACAAGAAAAAAATTAGGAACCAGATTAAGTAAAGAGTTTGATTAAAGATTAGAAAATATTTTAAATAAATGTAAATACATTAGGACTGCTGGATCTGCATAAAAGCTATCTATAATTGGCTAGTATATTTTATAAATGCTATAAAAATACATTGATATTCAGCAATGGGAAAGATGGAAAGACTCTCTGAAGTAGGGTCAACACAGAGTATGAGAATATGTTTGCATTTCAGAGCATATATTTGCATTTGCCACAACTTTGTCAACAGGAGATCCAAATTCACGCTTATTTGTACATCAAGAAGAAATAATCTCTTGGAGAAGGTGTGTTAAAGAGATCCTTCTCAAAATCTCCTTGGAATAGCAAAATAAAATGTTTCTATGCACAAGACTAACAGTAATTTTGTTGTCAAATTGTACTGGCTTGTTTCAAGGAACTGTGTTAGAACCTTAGACATAATACTCAGGGACAATAACAATTTTATGTGTATGTGGACTTTTCCTAGAAAGACTGACTTTCTGTCTTTCCTGAGCAACTGGGAATGCTACTCTCTGCCAAAATCACAGCTCTCAGCCACCCCTGAAACTATTCTTTCCAGGCCCTTTGTTAAGGATTATGGACTCTTGGCTCTCTCTAAAAGCAAGCCTGTTTTTTCCCTCACAGTTTCACTCAGGCTTTCCTATTATCACTGGCCTTATTGGTCTATCTGAGGCTACATCTTCAAGTACTTGGGCATAAAGGAATCTTCCCACAGGCAGTTACATTTGTTTCAACAGATTTGTGTGAAAATGGAGTTGTAACCGTAAAAGTGATATATTAGCACTAAACTGTTATATTTCAGCAGATTGCTCAAAAGCAATTACATAGGCCAAAATGAGTGTATAATAAACTCTGAATGCTAATATTTCCAGGGTACAGTAATCTTGATATGAATTTAAAAGAATGTCAGTTTAATTATCTGATTAACTCATTACGGTCATAGATTAACATAAACAATTGGTCTGGTGGCAATCTGAAGCCCTCAGTGTCATTAAACAAAGGAGATTTCTCAAATTTAAGGGTTTATTAGTGCAATATTTGTCCTGTATCTTGATATTCTTTAATAGAGCTAACAGTAGTAGATAAACTTAACTCAGTTAATTATTTGTTTTTCATTCACATAATGATAGTTTCATTACTCTACAGAGAAACTCTGAGAATAATCCCAGCACCCTAAAAGTGGTAAAAATTATTCACAAAGGGTTTTTCCTCTCCCATTCACTTAGTGTCAAATGCTAAGACAATCATATTAATCTCTTCAGGTCTGTTTGAATAAGGAAAAATGATGATATTATAAAAGCATCTTCAAAACACTCAGTTTAGAAGACATGAGAATAACGAGCTACAGGAGAGAAAACGACAAACCTTCAAATGGCATGTAATTAATTCAGGGCTTTCAATTTTATGGTTTGCAGAACAGGAACATTTGGAGTTGAGGACAGCTGAAAACAGGTTATACTATACACAATCTTTGTGCATTACATCGTGTAGGAGTAAAAATATTAAGATTTCTTCTGGGACTGAAGGAAGAGGGCATTAAACCCTAACATGAATTTTAAATACTTGCCATTCTGACTGCTTCCGTAACTCTGCAAGCTGGTGGAGTCGCTTGAGTGCTTTTTCCTGTTTCTTCTCATCTTTCCATGACTTTGAAGCCACATTTCGAGCAAATTCTCTTTGTTTCAAATCTTTCAATCTCTGTGTGAAAAGAATATAAACAGAAGGGATTAAATATGTGCACAACAGATACATTTCCTCTTACTCAATTTATTTGCTTTTTGTGAAGTTGGTATGCAAATGGAGAGTAAAAATATACTTAAAATAATAGTAAAAAGAGATTGAAAATACTATTTTTGCCTAAAAAAACAATGTGATTTGACCATTGCTATTTAGCTGATATATGCATACGTCTGAATGACAGTTTTGCTTCTTATGAATACATAAATCTGCTGTTGTGTACAAATACAGGCACAAAGCTAGACTCCATTTAATGAGGTCAGCATTTTCCTATTTAATTAATTCTGTTGGAATGTAATACATAGGCATGACAGCTTCTTTTTTCTCCAGCTAAAATGAAATAATCCAGCTAGTAGCAGTGACACAATATGACACAGTCATGGAAACTGTTTTCTACCACTTGGTGGAAAGAGGCCATTCTGGGTCTGTGATTTTGTTCCATGAAGAGTGCTGGAAAGCTGTAGTGGGTATCTCCCACCACTGTCACATCAGCTGTCCCATAAGTATGGGATCTTTTAAAAAGTCAGATAACACCTAGGAAAGGAAAGTAGATTCTGGGAGGCTAAGACCAGAAATTTCTTACTTGCTTTCAGCCTTGTAGACCCCAAGACATGTGACTCTGAGTACTGATCTGGAAACAGGGAGAGTTGAGCTGTTCATGTATCAGCTTCCCAGGGAGCTTAAGAGCTGGGTCGGAACCACCCCGATATTTCTGCACAGACAAGTTCCCTTGGATGAGGTCAACAAGGCCAGAAAGACAGTTGCTCAAGGAACTAATGCACCAACAACCAGCAAGAATCGCCCTGCTGCCTGGTGCCTGATGAAAGTTCAACAATCCTATCAGAAATATTTACACTTTGTCCAATCTGTATGTTTCTCCATAAAGTTTTTATCAGCTCCTACATCTAGTATTTCACTGAAGTAGGCTCTGAAACAGAACAGCTGCAAAAACCTCTTTAAAGCTCTTAGGTTTCAGTTGCTTGGAAATAAACGTTTGCTCTACCATATTTTACCCATTCCCTTATGTGCCTTCCCTCACTGTTTACTTGTCACTTGCCAGGCCAGTCACATAATGCTCCATTCCCTCAACCTCATTGTCTGCAATTTACAGTAAAATGGATGAATATATAAGACAATATTACTTTTGGTTCATGAAAGAAGCTTTTTAAATAATATATCAAAGCCAAAGCTGTAAAAGAAATCAGAGAATCTTCTCAGAAACAAATTCACATATTCCGTCACCTAGGTAATATTTACAAGAGTCTAGAGATATTTAAGCTGTGAAGAGAAGTAAGGAAAACATATGTAGCCTTAAGCCTTATTAACATGTCCAATGTGAAGTAAGGGCAAAGAAACAGGGTAAAGAAACACATTTGAGAAATGCTCTTTAGGGCTGCTTGCTATATTTTAGCTGTCATCGTGAGCTGTTCAGCACCACACCTAAAGCATTCATGGGGAAAAACAGAAACAGTTTCTACCTGTCAAGGAAACAAAGAACAGTGTGAAAGCAAGTACTATGGAGTGCAGGTACTGCAAAGCAATGCCATTTCACTTCTTTGGCAGTTAGGATGATAATCAAAAAAGAAAATGGACCAACACTAAGAATAGAAGTTTTAGCAGTATTTTTTACTCTCTAATGGTATACAGTATGTGTCAAAGAAGTAGAGAGAAGAATAAAAAAAAGCAGGTAAGCATAGCAGAGAACTCATCAACTGGAGCCGAAATCCAAGAAATCAAAAGCATCTAGAGTCTGAGCAGAGAAAGAGCTCTCTCTGCACATCCCCTCAGCAAAATAAAACAAAGCTGCACTGCCAGAGCTCCAGTTAAGAATTGTAATGAAATTTGTCAGCTATGTTGGATAGATCATGGGACTGCCTGCTGAACCTGTAAACCCCTGGTTTTCTTCACTAATAACCTGTGCTAGACTTCTGACAGGCACACAAATATTTTCTGCAGATGGTGCACAACAGCATGCAACTGAGCAGGTACCTGAATGACAACCCCAAGCTCAGCAGGTGTGCTTGAAAATTAACATTGCTTTACACGGCAATTGCATTTCTTCATGTAATTAGGTACTTAACTGGGCATTCAAATGCAGGCACATGTAATAAATTATGATTTATTTAATAGCATTCTTCTGTTCTGTCCTTCACCAGCTACAAATATTATTGTCCTGGAGTTATATTTGTTTTTCAGACTCATGTTCTATTCTTTCTCTCTTTTTCATGCACATGAGTGTGTGGATGTTGCTATACTTAAAAGTAACCCATCCCTTTTTTATAAACACCCACAGAAACGATTAAAAGACTACAAAATAATATTCATTGCATGCAAAGATTTACTTGTAGAACCAGATCTGAGTCACACTAGTTCCTCTGTCTAAGACTCAGTCAAAAACTACTGAATCTATATTTTTTCTCTTGAACTCTGGTACGAATCAACAGGAGATTCAAATGAGTTAATGGAGCTTCATCTCCTCTACCTACTTTAGCTAGACATGAAATAACAGTGGTCAAATACCTGTAATGTAGCAATTTCTGTCCATTCTTAATGTTGGGTTGTTTGAGGTTTTTTAATTGTCATTTTACTGGGGCCAGTTCTTGCTTTACACTGACCCATGGGCACCTGAAGGAAACTCAGTGATTGATGCATTTGCAGTATTGACTTCATTTTCTTTCCAGAGTTATGATCCTGATTTTTATTCCTCCCTGTGCAGGTGAATGTTTGTCTGGATTGCTATTCATCTGATCAGCCTTTCTTCACAGCTGCTGGAAAGAAATAAGCATTTTGGGGATGTAATCACCTCTTTTAAAAGCAGCTGTCTAAAACGAGAGGAATAAAGTGAAATGTAAAAGTACTTTCATTTCATTATTTACAAAGGGCATTAAGGGTATCTATCTTAATTATTAAGGGGTGTTCCTCTAAGAAGGAGACATAGCTGACAGCCCAGCTGAGGTGCCTTTACACCAATGCACACAGCATGGGCAACAAACAGGAGGAGCTGAAGCCACTATACTGCTAGCATGACATGGCCTAGTTGCCATTACTGCAACCTGGTGGAAGGAATCCCATGACTGGAGTGCAGAGGAGTATTAATGGCTACAGTATGTTTAGGAGGGACAGGCAACAAAGGAGGGGTGGAAGGTTTGTGTCTGCATCAAGAAATGTGGAGTGTGTAGTGTTGTCTCTGAACAATAGCCACAACCACACTGAAAGCATGTGGGTAAGAATCAGAGATCAAGGCAACAAAGGGCTGACACCTGTGGTCAGTGTCTACTACAGGCCACCTGATCAAAGTGAGCTTATTGATGAAGTCTTCCTACTACAGCTATAGGAGTGACTGTGTTCCCTCCAGGAGGCTCTTGTCCTCCCCAGGGAACTTCAACCACCTCTACAGCTGCTGGAAAAATAGCATAGCATGCTGTAGGAAACCCAGGAGACTGGACATGGAGGATATCTTCTTAAGCTAGAAGTGGATGTGATACTGGACCTGATGGTCACCAACACAAGACAGTAATTGATGGCATCTTGACTGGAATCATCCTATGATCATGCACTGGTGGAATTCGCAGTCCTGAGGGGTATGGGTCAGGTGAAGGGCAAAGTCAAGACCCTAAATTTCAGGACAGCAAAATTCCAGCTGTTCAAGGATTTATTCAATAGTCTCCCCTGGGAAACTGCCCTAGAGACAAGAGAGCAAAACCAAGCTGGCAGATCTTCAAGGAAGTTTTCCATAGAGCCTAAAAGCTCTCAGCTCCTTGGTGTAAGATGAAAGGAGACTGTCATGGCTGAGTCAAAACCTGATGGTCAAATTAAGGGGCAAGAAGCAAATGCACAGGTAGTGAAAACAGGTTTCCTGGGAAGAGTATGGCAATGCTGCTTGTGTAAGGATGGGTCCCTGGTAACATTCAAGATCAGGTTGGATAGGGCTCTGAGCAACATGAATTGATTAAAGATGTTCCTTCTCATTGCAGGGGAGTTGAAACTAGATGGTCTTTAAAGGTCCCTTCCAAACCAAACTATCCTATGGTTCTGTCTCTCACACACACTTTTGATAGAGGAAGTTGGTGCTTCTGGTACATTTTCATTGCTACAGATAATATTCTTGTCTATTGGCTGCATAAAAGGAGTTTGAATTAGTTTGCTTTTGGCATATGTAATAGAAAGAAATTTGAGGAAGACATCTCTATTTTTTTTTATGAGTCATTGACAAGAATACAGAGAAATTTTCCTAATCTGAATTTCTCCACCAGATTTGTCACCCTTCAGTCTTCACAGGGTCTCTGGAACATTTTATCTATATTGCTCTCTCATTCACTGTCTCTCAATTTGAGGACCTTAGGAACAAAGCATTTCTTCTCCTTTTGAGCATTCTGCCAGGGGCTATGCTCATCCCATTACATAGATTTGACAGGGATTCTTAGTATAACTACTTAAGATTTTGGGACAAAGAACTCCCATTGCAAGCATACTGAGAAGTAAATCCTCTTCTTGTACTGCATTGATGTAAATAGAAGGCATCTTTGGGAAAAAAAAATTTCTTCATTAAGTTATAAAAGGTCAGGTTAGTACGAACTAAATGATTTTTTTTTTCCCATTACATTTGGACTATTTTTATTCTGGAATGTAATTCACAGTGCACCCTCCAAAATACTCAACATTCCAGCCCCAGGTAAAAATGTATATACCACACATTAGGTATATGTCTCCTGTCATATTTAGAGAGCCTTGTTTAAATCTAAGTCCTTGAACTAATGCGAGTGTTTGAGTGCCTGATTAGCTTTAAAGATTTATTTCCACTTAGCTGAAAAGCTCCTTAATTAAGTTCTAACCAAATTCACCATAGAAGGGTTAAATGAGGTAAAAAGGAACATTAATTTCAGTAATTATTCTCTTTCCTGTAACCCTAACATTGGAACTAAATGCATTATTTGTAAAATGGTTTCACAGTGCAAACCATC